TATTAAAATTAATCTCACGTTCTCTTTTAAGTGACTCAATAAATTTTAAATTACATAGATAGCTCTTGTTTTGTTTCTATTGGGCAGTGCTGTTCTATAATACTTCCTAAATATTGCTGAAAATAATTCATCTAAACTTTAATGTATGACATTAATGTAAGACTTTAATGTAAGACATATGTGACCTATGCAAATATACCAACTTATTAGACATAGACAATTGGCCCTTTTTTGGGTTGCTTAGTCTTCTTTGGGGATTTTGGCCATACACTATCTTTTTTTTTTCCTGTCCCACCCTAAATGGAGTTCACTCTTTCTTGTACACTTGAAATTTTGACAAAACTATTGGATTACTTAAGATGGTTGGGTTCAAGATACCAGAAACTTCCAACATCAGTCAATTCTTAAAGCACAACATGAACATGAGAATTAACCACCATTTTCGTAGGTCCTTTGCATATCTCACTTTCATCCAACATGGTAAAATTAAGTAAAATAAACTAATATTTTTAAAAGGCAGAAAGGGAGCTGGATTGTTATAGCTCACACCTTTATTCCCCACATTCAGGGAAGCAGAGGCAGGAGGATTGCTGTGAGCTCGATGCTGCCTGGTCTGCAAAGAGAATCCTAGACAGCCAATGCGACAAAGAGAAACCCTGTTTTGAAACAAAACAAAACAAAACAAAACAAAACAAAACAAAACAAAACAAGAACAACAAAAAAGGGCAGAAAGGGCATAATAATCTTAGCAAAATGTTGAAGTCCCTAACTGTAGTGTTTTTATTCTAATCCCCTTTTGTTGCCTTCCTCCAGCTGAGGTGCTTCCTAACCACCTGCTTAGAGCCTGACATGCTGGCATCATAAACTTTAATGATACTCATGGTTTCCAATCTGCAGTTACTCTTCAAATATAATGAGTCTGAACAGGGAGCCTAGCTAAGCCTTACTTTCTTTGTGAGGGTTGCTAAGGGCTTGCACTCAGGATTGGCTAAGGAGCAAGTGCCCCTTGTGGCGCTTCTGTGTCCATTCTGAGAAAAGCTCCTGCCTAGTGACTAGAGGGCAGAAAGGCCCACTCACCTGCTCTGAGAGTCTGTACTCTCTAGAGTAACACACACTAGCTAACACCTTACTAGGCAGCCCATCAGCCTAGTCCTGCGGAAAAACAAATGCACTCTACAGGGCTGCTAACCCTTTCCTCTTCGCTGGTTAGGAAGGGAGGACAGTTGCTTTTATGCTGGCCACCACTGCCTTCTTCGGAGCAGAGACAAGGGAGGAAAGTCATTAAGATACAGTGTGGCATGTGAAGAAAAGAGACAAACCTGTGTTGCCTTAGTGTGTAAGAACAGTACAAACAGATCCAGGCAGGACTTTAAGAAAGTAACAACAGTTCCTTCACTCTTAACACAGGAAAGTTCTCTTTTCCTCTCTCTCACCGTGCTCCCTTGTTGAAACCTGCTTTGCAGTTTCCCCTTCCCTTCTTGTGGTCAACCTTTCAATTTGTGCAATAGTCCCTGCCCATTCTGATACTTCCTCTTCTTCCCCAGTCCCTCTGTGTAAAATGTCTGTTTCCTCTTAGTTCATTTTTTTTCAGTGTATAGTTTCTAGTTACAGTTTTTTTATTATTAAAACTATTTATAATTATATATCTAACCAGTGTGAAGGTGCGTGCATTAATTATATATCTGTGCATCTGTGCTTGTCTGAAGGTGGAAATGCAACCCCTAGAGGTCTGGAGTTACAGTCAGTTGGGAGCCCCCAGACATTGATGTTGGGAATCAAACTCTGGTCCTCTTGAAGATCGGTACACACTGTTAAACAACCATCTCCCCAATCCCTAGTTTCTTTTTTAGTTGTGGAAGATACTTTGTATTTTGAAGAGTTTGCCAAAGGTGGCTCTATAATCAGAGTTAAGGTCTTAAATACAGTATCCTGATTCTTTTGATAAGACTTGTATTATTGTATTACATGGCTCTACCATGTATAATGCTGTATAAAATTGCAGATAATTATAGCTTGAAGGCTTGCTGTGATGATTAAATAAAAAATATGTATTATATGCATCTCTACCATGTGAGATGCAGCTCACATATATAATGATTGCCCAGTGTTTCTAAGGTTCTGGGTTTATGGCTAGCACTACATATAGCAACACAAATCTGTAATGCCAGCATCAGGAGGAGATAGAAGCAGGACGATGAGAAGTTTGAGGCCATGCTTAGATGCATAAAGAATTACAGCTGGCATACATAAGATCTACTCTTGAAGGAGAAAGAGAGACAAGAGAGGGGTTGAGGGAGAGGGAGAGGGAACAGGGAGAGGAAGGAGAAGGGCATGAAGTGGGGAGAGAGACAGAAAGAGAGGGAGGGAGACGAGCAAGAGCACAGAGCAAGAGCACCAGAGGGAGAGAGAGAGAGAGAAAGAGAGAGAGATTAAGAAAGAGAGAGAGAGTGAGACAGAGACAGAGAGGGAGAGAGAGAGAGAGAGAGAGAGAGAGAGAGAGAGAGAGAGAGAAATTAGGGCACTGAGATGAGTTTGGTGAAATTTCATTTTTGTTAAAATGAGGATGATGATACCTATCTAACAACCTAATTTTAAAGATTAAATATGTGAAGGAGTGTGGCTTCACTGTAGGTTGTTCATGCTAGACTCTGCAAAGTTCTAGAGGTGACATCAATGGATAAGACAGAATATTTGTCTTCAGGGAACTGAGTGAGAATTCATAAGATAAACGAAATGCAGATAAAATCAAACGATACTGTGTGAGTCAGGGCAAGATTCCAAGAATAACTTAACAAACTTGAGGCATCTATAGCACTAGGAAAACAAGAGAATAAAGCATTTTATGGTAGAAGAGACAGTCATGAATGCCACATTTGAGGAATGTGCAGGCTATAAATGTGTTTACCAAAGATATTTACCAAAGATGAACATAGACGGTAAGAGTGAGCATTTATTGAAATGCACTGCAAGGACACAGCTGATCACAAGGCTTGGGAGGATGTGGGAGGCTGCTTGCAATTGAGAGGGAAGTTCCTGATCTTATCTCAAGTGCCATTAGTATAATTTTCATATCTAAATAAATAGGTGGGAATCTTCCTGTGTTTTTAGTTGTAATTTTTTAAAGAGTAACTTTTTTTTTTGAGACTGGTCATTTTAGTTCAGTTACCACTGGTCAGTAAAAGTTAGGCTCCAAATATTTACATAAAACATCATGAGTCAGTGATACTAGGCTCCAAGCAGATGGCAGGGTTGTTAAAATATGATGATTTCTGCCTTTTTGTCTCTGAGTTAATAAATTTGATTACTGGAGAGTTAGGGCACATGGAGTGAATTCACAAACTCACAGCAGATGTGGTTACCTGTATAAGACCTGCACATCAAGCCAGTCAACATTCTAACATGGAGGGCAGAGTGGCTAAAGCCCCCTCCGCAATAACTGAAAATCTATTGACAGTTAGTGGCTTTTATGGGAAGGGAAGGACAGTTTTTTAAAAGGGTGCAACCTTGAAAAATTAATAAAAGTAAATTTTAAAGAAATACTTAATTTATTATGTCATGAGTGTATTGCAATTTATTCAATCTTTTCTTTTTGATGCTCATTTTGTTCATTTCAGATAAATAATTTTTACAAAAGATGCTGAGACTGTTCCACATTTGTCCTGCTTAAAAGTGAAAATAACCTCATCTCTGTCTTTACGCACATTATGAACTCTATTGCTGTTAACATTTTCCTACTCACTGTCATTGGGAACTTTTAAGATCCTCTTTCGGTACATGGTCATTACCATACCACACATGTGACCAGCCCACATCATTTTCCTATGAGTGCTTCAGTCCTGGCGTATGACAGGAAAGCAGAACCAATTTATGTGATTAAAATTGTCGTTCTTTTTTAAGATGTAGGCAGACGCTGAGACACAAACCAGACAGAAAGGACTTTTTCTGACTTTTGGCTGTTGGCATCTCAGAAGACCAAATCTTTGGGTATCTTGATATCTGGAAAAAGTAAGTCTAAATTCTTACTTAGTTGGTTTTGTGTTGTTTTAATTTATTCTCAATTCTTTCAAACATTAAAAAATGGATTTCCTGGAAACATGTATAATATATACCATAATATATATTATATAATTATATATTATATACAGTATAATATATATTATGAGATGAAAGCTGTATCTTGAATAAAGGTGAATAATCTTTTGCATTATTACAGAGTTTCTTTTTATTTTGCTACGTAAGAGGCAGGTTTCACTATTTAGCCCAGACTGACCTTGAATTTATGATTGTATTGCCTCAGCCTGCTGAGTGCTGAGATTACAGGTGTGAATCATCATGCCTGGCTTTTTGAATAGAGTTTATGTGCAAATTTGAAACTCTTCGAATTGTATTAATAAATGATGTTAAAGCATGAAATAATTGAATAAGGAAGGAAGATTTGCATCCAAAAAAAAAGAAAAAAGAAAACGAAAAAGTTAAAAAGAAAGGGGAAAGAAAAAGTAGTAGTAAAATTGAGAGACCTACAGTATTGAAATCATAGTTATGATTAGAGTTTTTATTTTCAGAAAAATTTCATGATTGTATGTTTTTATTTTAAGTGGACTTTAAAACAGTAAAAGTCTAGGCATTTCAGTAATTTCTAAATAAGTACTAAAAACAGCTGAATATAGAGAGTTATACATGTCCCCGAGTTTGTAATTTTTAAACACTTACATGTGTACTGTCTAATAGTCTCACAATATCCCAATGAAAAAGGCAAGGGGTTATTTATTATAATTTAACTGTTGAGAAAATTGAGAGCCAGAAATAAGTAAATTCTCCATTGTTTAACAGTGATAAAGAAATCAAAGTATTTCTAGTCTCACTCTCTATTCATTAAGCAACAGTTCTTCCCTAAAATATGGTTCATGTAGGAGACAAATTTTTATATTTCATCTTAGTTTCAATTACCCTAATTATCTATTTTATAATTCTTTCATATTTTTAGAAGAATTTGTCTAAGAATATGCTTGGAGAAGCCTTCCTAACTGAATTCCTTTACAAAGAACAGAAACATGTAAACTTTTACAAACCAGTAAGATGTAAGAAGACATCAAATGATGCAAAGGGAAGTTGGGAGAATAAGCTTTTAGATATGAAGGGCAATTCACCTCCCCCTTTTAAGACTGGACATCAAGAGAAAGTTATAGAAGGAAGTTTAACCAAACAAGAAAATTATACAACTCAATTGAAATCTGGGGATGAACTACATGCTGCAAAATTCAAAAGTACAGCTCTTCCAGGAAATGTATCCATTGCATTGCCCATTCCAAAGAGGGGACATGATGAAACACAACTGGATTTATATCGATCCTGGTCATGTACAAGTATTTGCCAGAATTATCCTGACCTACAGATAGGAGGTGACCATGTTAGAAACATGTATGACTCTGGCTGCTTTGTGGAACACACCCATGATGATGTTTGCAATGGTCCTCTTTTACTTTCGGTGGATATACCATTGGGCCACTCTACTAAAATTGAGCCTCCAGAGAAAACCTCTACCTCAAAATTATTAAATGGTGATGAAATACGAGAAAAAAGCATGCTATTACATATGCAACCCCTCTCTAATTCTATGCTTAACAGTTACATGGAAAAAAAGGTGGAAGAACTTTACAAACAGTTTTTGGAAGAAAGTCTTACCAGGTGCCTCTCTATAACCAACCTCATGGCTTCTAATATACTGATGAATAATGTCAATCAAATTAGCCTTCAAATCTCTCAAGAGCAGAACATAGAGTCATCCAAAGCCCGAGAAGCCCTCCTCCACTCTTTAGCACTATGTAATTTTCTAAATGTTTCCCACAGAAACAGTTCTGCATTAAGCACTCCTAACTTGCAAATATCCAGCCAGACTAGTCGGAAACTTGTATGACATTTATAGTAGGAATCAAATAAAGATTGGGTAGATTGAGTAAGAGACTACAATAAAAATTATGTTCTCTTGTTTTTCATGTCTCATTGAGTTTCCTCTGCTTTTGTGACTTTTTTGAGAAATTATTTTGGTACATTTGAATTCTTGTAGAAGATAAGTATGATAACTAAGATTTATGACCAATTATGTTTTCTTTCTGTTTTGATACCTCTTGTATTTACTGTGTTCAAGTTGGTTTGCTCTGTATGTATATATTGTCACTAAGATTTTTTTTTTTACCACAAAAGTGGTATGAGGAAGGAGTCCATAATTCTAAGCTACTGAAGCTGCCAAAGGAGCTGTATCAGAAATGTGTACAGGCATATAATCAGTGTTTAAATAACCTTATTATTTGTGATACAAAAGACCATTTACACTGACAATCAGAATAGCCTGAAGGAGTTTTTCCACGTACAAAGACCATTTTCATATGTAGGTTGTAAGAACCTATGAAAAGAAAAATAAGATTTAAGGGAAATTTGTAAGAGACATAGAGAAAAAGATTAAGAGAAAATGAAGAATTTGTTGGTTCCATTTGAATTAAACTTGATATTTTAAACTCTACTTGCACAAGGATTAGCTCTTTCTGTCACTATGCTATGCCTGGTTGTTTTTAATGCTGAGAGGAAGAAGGTGCACAGGTTAAGTGACTGAAGTGTATAGCGAACCACAATATACTTCTGAGATTCTCTTGGCAATGTTTTACAATATTCAGATTTTATACAATTATGATCTTGACTTAAAAGAAAAGAAAATGTATAAAGTTTGAAAGCTAAATTACATTAACATGATACATCTTATAAAATGTTGTGTTTTATTACCAAAATAGAAACAAGACCTCATGATTCACAGCTCGCATTTCTCCTATGAATAGTGAAATGATTGTTACATACTATTGCTTGTAAAAGAGTGCTGTGGACTGATGTTGTAAAATTATTTTGAATGTATTATATATTAGTAAGTTTTTTGTATCAATAATCTCCTCTGAATAAGTACTTCTTTATTAAATTCTATAGAATGAAACAATTCAATGTCTTCATATTTTGTTATTTTAAATCACGTTTGCATTTCTGTAGCTTCAACTTTTATGATATAGTAGTAGCTAAAGAAATGATCTTGCTTAACTCTTCAGTACTCCTATCCTTGTCATCATCTGTTATATTTTTCCAATCAGTTTCAATCACTCAGATGTTTGATTACAATGAACAAAAATTTTGAAAAAAACTGAATTACTGTTATGTGAAGACTGAAAATATTGTATGTATTGTCTATTGTTTGATTTTAACATTTCAATGCAGATTATTTGCATGAAAATGCATTATATTAAAATTTATACTTTTCAAATTGAATAATATATATTTAGACAGCACTGTTGTCAACAATTTTCTTAGGTAGAGTAATATGTATTAATATTGCATTTATGCAGCAGATGTAGGCATAGTGTTGGGATTATATAGTATATAAAACAATAATGTTTAACTAGCATCAAATTTAAAAGTGCATTTATAACTTCTGATTTTAAAATTCTACTTTATTGTTCTTATTTTTCAGTTTCATCAAAATGTCCATTATATGCTGATGCTCAAATGATTAAAATGACCTAAATTAATACAGTAATTAAATAAAGAAAATGATACATAGTGTGCTGCTTTATTGTGACCTCATATCTGCTTTATTCAGTGTTTGAATAAAATATTCATATATGCATATGATTTTGCAGTTTGCATTTAAATAGACTTCATATCATTTTTCATTATGGGTATCACACATATGACAATGCCCTCTGTTTGAAAGCATATATTTGTTTTTTTTTTTATTTTTTTTTATTTTTTTTATATATTTTTTTATTTTTATTTTATTTTTCTTTTTAGTTACATTTTGTTAACTCTGTGTCCCAGCTGTATCCCGCTCCCTCATTCCCTCCACAACCCCACACTCCCTCCCTGGTCTCCTCCCTGCCCCTTTCCAAGTCCCCTGATAGGGGAGGACCTCCTCCCCTTTCATCTGACCCTGTTTTATCAGGTATCTTCAGGGCTGGCTGCAAAGTCCTCCTCTGTGGCCTAACAGACTGCTCCTCCCCTGGGGTGGGGGTCAAACAGCCTGCCCTTGAGATCCTATTAGAAATAGTCCGTGTTCCCCTTACTTTGGAAAACTACTTGGTTACTGAGCTACCACAGGCCACATCCGAGCAGAAGTTCTAGGTTATATCCATAGATGGTCCTTGGTTGAGTGTCAGTCTCAGAAAAGACCCTGTGCCCAGATATATTTGGTCCTTGTGGAGCTCCTATCCTTTCCATATCATACTAACTTCCCTTCTTTCATATGATTCCCTGCACTCTGCCAAGGGTTTGGTTATGAGTCTTAGTGTCTGCTTTGAGACACTGCTAGGTAGAGTCTTTCAGATGCCTTTTGTGATAGACTCCTGTCATAAGTTCAATGCACATCCCATTTGTCTTTCTAAATGAGGATTAATCACCTTCGCCTGTGTCCACTTTCTTGATTATCTTCTTTAGGTGTGTAGATTTCATTATGTTTATCATGTCTTGTAGGTCTATATAAGCGAGTATATACCAAGTTTGTCTTTCTCCTTCTGGGATACTCAGAATGATCTTTTCTAGCTCCCACCACTTGCCTGCAAATTTCATGATTTCTTCCTTTTTGATTGCTGAGTAGTATTCCATTGTGTAAAAATACCACAGTTTCTGTATCCATTCCTCCGTTGATGGACATCTGGGTTGTTTCCAAGTTCTGGCTATTACAAATAAAGCTGCTATGAACATGGTTGAACAAATGTCCTTGTTGTGTACTTGAGCAAATTTTGGGTATATACCTAGGAGTGGTATAGCTGGGTCTTGAGGTAGCACTACTCCTAGTTGTCTGAGAAAGCGCCAGATTGACTTCCAGAGTGGTTGAACCAGTTTACATTCCCACCAGCAATGGAGGAGGGTTCCCTTTTCTCCACAACCTCTCCAGCATGTGCTATCACTTGAGTTTTTCATCTTGGCCATTCTGATGGGTGTAAGGTGATATCTCAGGGTCGTTTTGATTTGCATTTCCCTAATGGCTAATGAGGTTGAGCATTTCTTTAAGTGTTTCTCTGCCATTCGACGTTCCTCTTTCGAGAATTCTCTGTTTAGCTCTGTTCCCCATTTTTTAAGTAGATTACTTGGTTTGTTGCTTTTCTGCTTCTTTAGTTCTTTATATACACTTGATATTAGCCCTCTGTCAGATAAAGGGTTGGTGAAGATTCTTTCCCAATCTGTAGGCTGTCTATTTGTTTTGATGACAGTGTCTTTTGCTTTACAGAAGCTTTTCAGTTTCATGAGGTCCCATTTATTGATTGTTGCTCTTAGAGCCTGTGCTGTTGGTGTTCTGTTCAGGAAGTTGTCTCCTGTGCCAATGAATTCTAGGCTGTTTCCCACTTTTTTTTCCAGCTGATTTAGAGTATCTGGTTTTATGTTGAGGTCCTTGATCCACTTGGACTTTAGTTTTGTGCAGGGTGATAGATATGGATCTATTTTCATTTTTCTGCATGTAGACATCCAGTTGGTCCAGCACCATTTGTTGAAGATGCTGTCTTTTTTCCATTGAATGGATTTGGCTTCTTTGTCAAATATTGAGAATTCATAGGTGTGTGGGTTTATTTCTGGGTCTTCTATGCGATTCCATTGATCCTCCTTTCTGTTTCTATGCCAATACCATGCAGTTTTTATTACTGTTGCCCTGTAGTACAGCTTGAGATCGGGAATGGAGATACCTCCAGATGATCTGTTGTTGTACAGGATCGTTTTGGAGATTCTGGGTTTTTTGTTTCTCCATATGAAGCTGAGAATCTTTTTTTCAAGGTCTGTAAAGAATTGAGTTGGTATTTTGATGGGAATTGCATTGAATCTGTAGATTGCTTTTGGCAGGATGGCCATTTTCACAATGTTAATCCTACCAATCCATGAGCACGGGAGATCTTTCCATCTTCTGAGATCTTCTTCAATTTCTTTCTTCAAAGACTTGAAGTTTTTCTCAAATAGGTCTTTCACTTGCTTGGTTAGAGTCACACCAAGGTACTTTATGTTGTTAGTGGCTATTGTGAAGGGTGTTGTTTCCCTAATTTCTTTCTCAGCCTTTTTGTCTTTGGTATACAAGATGGCCTCTGATTTTTTTGAGTTGATTTTGTATCCTGCCACTTTGCTGAAGGTGTTTATCAGCTGAAGAAGTTCTCTGGTTGAATCTTTGGGGTCGCTCATGTATACTATCATATCATCTGCAAATAGTGACACTTTGACCTCTTCCTTTCCGATTTGTATCCCCTTGATCTCCTTTAGTTGTCTTATTGCTCTGGCTAGGACTTCAAGTACAATGTTAAAGAGATATGGAGAGAGTGGGCAGCCTTGTCTTGTCCCTGATTTCAGTGGGATTGATTTAAGTTTCTCTCCATTGAGTTTGATGTTGGCTATAGGCTTGCTGTATATTGCCTTTACTATCTTTAGGTATGTGCCTTGTATCCCTGATCTCTCCAAGACTTTAAACATAAATGGGTGCTGGACTTTGTCAAATGCTTTTTCAGCATCTAAGGAGATGATCATGTGGTTTTTCTCCTTCATTTTGTTTATGTGGTGGATTACATTGATGGATTTCCGTATGTTGAACCACCCTTGCATTCCTGGGATGAAGCCTACTTGGTCATGGTGGATGATATCTTTGATGTGTTCTTGGATTCGGTTTGCAAGTATTTTATTGAGTATTTTTGCATCAATGTTCATAAGAGAGATAGGTCTGAACTTCTCTTTTTTTGTTGGATCTTTGTGTGGTTTAGGTATCAAAGTGACTGTGGCTTCATAGAATGAGTTTGGTAGTGTTCCTTCTGTTTCTGTTTTATGGAATAGTTTGAGGAGAATTGGTGTTAGTACTTCTTTGAAGGTCTTGTAGAATTCTGCGCTGAAGCCATCTGGTCCAGGGGAAAGCAT